CTCTAACACCAGGTGGTGCTGCTGAGGATCTGTAGCCTCTATTACTTCCTTAGCATTCATAAGGTTGTTGCCAAGAATCATAGCCTTGTCTACCTAATCTCTCTCTGCACAGGCCAAACCAAGATGAGGCACTGAAGCCTCAGGGGTCACTCCTGCTGTTGCTCTTAAAGGAGTTTGGTGTGGCATCCTTTTCAGCAGCATTCTCAAGGGTGTCAGGGAAGCAGCCTAGCTATAGACATCCCTGAAGGGTGCTATCTGTCCACAGTCAAGTCAAGATTCAGTTACAGAACTAATAGGATCCACAGAGTGGCCCATAGAACTAAGTATGTGGTTCTGTCCTGTGTTCTCTCACTGACCCAGAAAAGTAATTTAAGCTCTCACCATCTGAGTTTCCTTATCTGTAAAATAGGAATAGTACTGATCTACTTCCTAGGAGGAATATTATTATGCAAGGCTCCTACAGTGCACTGAACATGTAAAACACTGTATAAAGAGTGAGACAACTCCAAATAGTCACCTGCTACTATACAAATTAAATCCTTTTCTCACTTTCATTAGCTGTATTCTTCAGACTCGTGCACTTTGCTTATATTCAAGTACATTTAATAGTTATTGGCTATTAGATGACAAGAAATCCAAATCGAATGAGAAAGGAACAGTGGTTTTCTGGTTTAAATGCTGGAAGGGGATTCAGGAGATTTTTCTTCAGTTCCTTACTCTGCCAGACCTTGAGTGGAGGAACTGTGGGCAACACATTTCTTCTATGCCCCAATTCTTCACTTGCAGAATCTTTTACTGTAAGGCTTTGCCTGGATCTAAATAAGACCTTGCATTACTGGGCTGATTCTATTTTGTATGTTAAATGGTACTTTCATAATGATAGGAATATATGGGAAGATATATATATGGCAGGGACACAGACAAGCTTTGGCAAGGAAACAAAACTCAATAATGATCAACACAACAAAGAGAAAAGATAGATTATAACAAACAGTAATGAAAATAATTGATTTAATAAAAATTCATTCTGCAAAGGAATCATCAGTAGTTCTTATTCATTTATAGTAGAGCAGATACAGACAAAAGAGGCTGAAATCTCATGTACTTTAAAATTATGCATTCTGGATGCAAGCCTCATGTCTGAAACTTGTACTGTAATCATAGACTCCTCTATATCTTCAGGGCTGATTAACCATGCTGGAATTATCAGCCAGAATCTGAAAACTCATTTCCTATATTAATATAAATCCCCTCACCACTCATTTTAATCATTAATGGATTTTGCAGTTATATTTTGCCCTAGATGCTGTCCAAACTTTGACATTTTATTCCAGGAGGACAGTATAGTAGAGATTTTGCCTCTGAATCATAGTGCCAAGGTGTAAAAGCTGGTGTCGTCTTCAGTATCTGGCACCTAAGGATATTGTATTTGCTAGCAACTAGAACCCTAAAGCTGGAATAAATTTTAAAAAATATCTCTCTTTGGCATCTTAATCACAAGTCCTATATTTCCCTTGTGTGTGTCTAGTTGGTCTACTTGAAAAGATGTCTGTTCTTGCTATATATTTCTTTGCACCATATATTGTAGCCAGTAGGTTTCTAACTGATAAAATACTTAACCAAGAAATACATATGAGATTTTTTATTCACAGTTTTTTATTAAACATTTTGCCGAGTTTACTTTGGACATAAATACATAATGTTTATGGCTCATGTTATAACATAGACACTATTATTTGTTAGAAAACATATACTGTTACATACTATAGTGGTTACATTATTTCCCCTTTCCTCCTAATATTGTTCCATGATTACTAAACATTAAAGTGACATTGAAACAAATTACAATCTACTTAGCAACATGGTCAAATACATGTATAAAATTTACTTGTCAGCTGTAAAAGTACCTTTGGTTTGCATCTGATTTCAAAGCAATGTAATACCAATTAGCAGTATATTACAAAACAAACATTGCACATTGTGCTTAGTTACTGGCTAGAGCTTGAATTCATAATGATGTATAGTTTTACAATAAGCTGTAAAGCTTCTTTTTACCTCATAGCCTAATGATATTTATATAGTGCTTATTTGCAAAAATCTTATAAGAAATACGAAATCATAGGCCCAATCCTGCTGCTATGGAACTCAATGGCAAAACTCAGATTGATTTTTATAGGAGCAGGATTGTGCTATGTTTTTTACCAGTTATGAACGCATGACAACTGTATTACAGCTAGAATATATGGTGGCTGTCTCCTAAAACTTTAAAATACATTGTTGTACCTGGGCCATCACTAGATCTTGTGAACCCACTATGAATTGGAATTCCAGTTCAGAGTGCAGAGAGTTTGTGGGCTCAGCCCACTATCACCAAAAATAGAATTGTGTAAATGGGTGCAACCCTTGAAACCTCACAGGCAGCCTCCTACACAAGAGAGGCTTGAAGAATCAGGCCTGGGGCCTTCAGTTTGCAGAGAAGCAAAGGGAAATCAAACCATGCATGATTTACACAGGAAAGCATGTCAAAATTATTTTACTTTGAAGTAAACAATACTTAATAACAATATAGTACATTGATAAAATAAGCCAGGGACAAAACAAAATAAGCATACATCTCAGGGACGGGCATGAGAGACAACACAGGCCCCATTACTGCAATTGACCTTCAAGCCATACAGAATCTCACCGAAGTCAGTGGGGCTCTGTGCTGACACAAGATCCCCGGTCACAAAAAAACAGATGGCAAGATTTGGGCCCTAGGTGATAATGGCACTGAAACAGAAATAGAGCGAAGGATATGTTTTTAAATTTTCAATATGGTACCAAGAGTTTTGCATTTTTAAGCATTTTCTGGATTTTATTTTGAAAGCAAATGCTGTGAATATTTAGAGAACAAGTCCCAATGAATCAGCTGTAGAACTAAATTTTAGGGCATCAATATTTCCCCCCCCCAAAAAAAGAAATATTGATTATTTTGGAGGTGTTTATCTACTGCTTAGCAACAGGATTCAAGCTTTTCTTTCCTGTACTGTTTAAAACTAGAATTGAATGTTTTGGAAAAGAGACTGTAATCATGGGTGACACTGATTGTTTTAGATCAGATTCTAAGAAATCTTAGTGAGATTAAGCAGTTTGTATTAAAAATGATGGACATAGTTCAAAGTATATGGAGTCCTCTTCTCTCCCCACCTCAAGATGGGGAATAAGAATAGTGCCAAAGTCTACGTCCATCATTCAGGCAATGGACTCAAGTTACTAGCTTGATTCTGAGCAATGTAAACATCTGACATTCATTCCGTGTTGGAAATGTGCCGGTCATATTTTATGCTCTTATACCACATTGATGGTCATAGGTTATAGAGGTCTTAAGAAACCCAAATGCTTATAGTGCTACATTTACCTGGCCTCTCTGTCTCACACTACACTGACATACAAAGAGGATGTCTCATAACTCGCCTCTCATTCGGGTAAACATCCATACTGAAGACTATGTACTTGGAGGTAGTCCTCTGCATTGTAGGCTTTGTCTCATTTTTATGTGCACAAAGGAGGCAAATCCATACCATAAAGTAATTTGATCTATAGACCCTCAATGAATGCACGCTCAATGAATGAACCAACATAAAACAAAGACTATAAGTTACTTGTTAGATAAGGCTAAATGACCAAGTTACTACTTGCAATCTGGCCACTCAACACTAAAAGAGTACCCAGCAACCACCAGGACAGAACGAATATAGCACAGAGTCTGTTACGTTACGTTCTGAGTCCAGCTCTACTTTCATACTGTGAACTTGGAAAATGCTCTTCACCTGAAATTCTGTCAGGCTTAGAAGGGACAAATACTTCTAAAAGAAGGCCACATCCTTCCCGTGTGCAAAGGTACACTAGAACACACATCAGTCTACAGACATTTGCCTGTAGTCATGTGTGAAGTGCACATCAATTGATTTCCGATGCATACCCACACTGGTGATGTGTACTTCCCATAGGTATTGATATATTAATATGGTTTTATGCTCGATACGAACTCACTATAAAACTCACTGCATAACTATAAGTCTCTTCATTTTAGTTACTTTACTACTATTAAAAAATGCAAGTGTATGCATTTTAAAAATTACACATATTTTCTATACAGTTTTGATACTGGAAGCACAATCCATTGCCAGCAACGGAACATACTACAAACAAGTATACCAAGCAGTTGATTAGAATGCACATCTATTCTGTATCTACAATCTGAATTTCTGTTGCATTTTCTATTTATTCCTAATCATCATGTGCAAAATCCTACAGGTATACAACATAGACATCATACCTATCCATGCTGATAACACACATTTTTGAATAATACTGTGCTGAGCATTAGTAATTATTAGTGTACTTTTAATTTGTTTTGAGACACAGGGTATATCTTCCTGCTAAGTTCTTGGCCAAAACCAAACATGCCTTATGGGATCATACTACAAATTACATAGCAATTTCCCAATTAACTCATTAGCTTAATTTGAATATTTGTTTAAAATATTTCCTAATTTGTTAAAATGTAGAGTGCATGCTATATGTCACTTTAAATAAAAAAATAGCTGACTTACGTAAGCAAAAAATAGCATGTAAAATAGTATGTATTCCTTGCCCCTCACCCAAGTGCTAGCGATCATAAGTATGCAAATATAAAGTGAATATAAATAAAGTGGAGATGCTAAAACCATTTAAAAGAGTGCTATATCTGTAACAGTTTAAGCTTCAGACAGATCATCAACTAAATGTTTCCAATATCATAATACTGCAGCATGTTTTGAATGGTTGATGGTTCTACTTTGCAGCTGTTACTTATGTGATAAATCCAACTTACTTCAACGGATTGCTCATCTGAGTAAAGGCAGCACAGCTGGGCCCTTAGCTTGACATTCACTGTAAGAAGATTACAGCAGAAATCTCTTTACATCAGAAAATATCTTCAACAACCAGAGAGTTTAGGAATGAAGTCAAATGACTTTTTTTTTTTTTTTTTTTTTTTTACACAAAATCACTATTTATCATTGTTTCAGTCACTCAGATGTTTAGTAATGGAATCTGCCAAACCATCACAGAAGATACGAGTTCATCCTGTCTCTGCTGCTTGGACTTCTTGTTTACTCTTCTGTGTCCTTGACCTCCAGAAATAACTAATACTGAGCTTGCTTTCATTTTCTTGGATCTCTGTCTTTTATTTTTAAGTGAGATGTTTTGATCCTTTAAAAGCTCATATATGGTACTGTCCTCAGTTCTATGTTCCACGGAATTCGATCCATGAGGTAATGGATCTAGGGACCCAGAAGATGAAGATAAGTCACTCCTTTGTGTAATGGATCCAGCTGAACCTCCCAGCCAAACTCCAGTATCCTGAATATTACTTAAGGCAGAACCCGGTCTCTCATTACGCAGAGCATTCTTTTGATCATCATCATTAGTTTCTGTGCTTCGAGGCAGACTGCTTCTGGATTTGCTTCTGTTTTTCTTGTTTAGGGCTGTAGCCATAATAAGGAATTTGACTGGGCCATTATGTGCATGATAGGATACCATTCCCCTTCCTGAGACCAAAAAAAAAAAAAAAGAAGAAAAACGTTATGTAATATTACTCTTACTCATAGTGGGCCAATGCTTTACACAATAATTAGTGCATTAGATTAATATAACTTTGTCCAAAGAAGCATGTTCATTACCATTTTGTTCATATAGGTACAGAACTGAAACACTACAGAAATTACAAAAAGAAAATGTACATCCAAGATGCTTTCGGACTGTAATACAAATCAGCTACAACTTAGACATGCTGCATTCAAGCTGACATTTGGTTCATAATCTCTTATGTTGTTTTCTCTGTTTTCTCAACAGCATGAGTAAAAGAATCCTCAGCTGACTTGTTGAAGTTGGCACTGTCACAGCCTCGACATTGCAAGCTTTTCCCAACAATTCACAATGGAATATTTGTTTTTCAATTAATCTTACTCCAACCTTCTTGCATAGCATAACCAAATCCATTCCACTGGAATAGTGCTTGCCTCACCCATGGAGCAGGGAGTCAGATTTGCTCTCATCAATGGCCTCGCATTTATAGGAGAATTGTGAATGAATTCCTAATTTAATGTTTTAAAAAATTTAAACGGTGGGATACTGAATGGGAAAAAGAAAGATTTAACGATATCAGCCATAATATTGTGTCAACAGCAAATTCCTTAGGATTTAATCAACAGTTAATACCTTGATGATGTGTGTATTTTTCAGCAACCAAAATAAGAGCAATGATGTTGCATTTTGCCAACTAAGCTGTAATAAAAAACAGAATATTTATAAAAACATGGAATTTACCACAAAAAAAAGGGAAGGAAGGAAGATTCTAGAAATGTTATGCAAAATGTGACAATGCCATAATTGCCATTAGAGGAAGTGTCAGAAGTTAGTCAATTAAAAAAATAATCAGTGCTCTGCTATTCAAATCCCCTATACTCAACTTGCATATTATAAAAGTACATCTTCCCTAGATTTGATATAGCTAAAACTGTGAACTTTTTCAAGCCCTTAGGAAAACAATCTTAACTAAAAATGAAAGGTAACAAGTTATAGTTTCATAGTTGGTAGGGTCGGAAGGGACCTGAGCAGATCATCAAGTCCGACCCCCTGCAATGGGCAGGAAAGAGTACTGCGGTCAAACGACCCCAGCAAGGTGTTCATCCAGCCTCCTGTTAAAGACCCCCAGGATAGGAGCCAGCACCACTTCTCTTGGAAGTTGGTTCCAGATCCTAGCTGCCTTGACAGTTAAGTAGTGCCTCCTGATGTCTAGTCTGAATCTACCCTCTGCCAGCTTGTGACTTATTTCTAGTCACTCCTGGGAGTGCTCGGGGGAACAGGGACTCCCCCAATAGCTGCTGGTCCCCTCTAACTAGTTTGTAAATGGCCACTAGATCCCCCCTCAGCCTTCTCTTGTGGAGGCTGAACAGGTTCAGGTCCCTTAGCCTCTCCTTGTAGGGCCTGCCCTGGTGTCCCCTGATCATGCAAGTGGCCCTCCTCTGGACCCTCTCCATGTTGTCCACATCCCTCCTGAAGTGCGGCGCCCAGAACTGGACACAGTACTCCAACTGCGGCCTGACCAGTGTCGCATAGAGGGGGAGGATCACCTCCTTGGACCTGCTTGAGATGCATCTGTGGATACATGACAAGGTGTGGTTGGCCTTCCTGACCATGTCCCCACACTGTCGGCCCATGTTCATTTTGGCGTCAATAATGACTCCAGGATCCTTTTCTGCCTCTGCACTGACGAGAAGGGAGTTCCCCAGCCTATAGGTATGCTGCTGGTTCTTCCTCCCCAGGTGCAGTACCTTGCACTTGTCAGTGTTGAAACCCATCCTGCTCTCATCCGCCCACCCCTGTAACCTGTCTAGGTCCAATTGCAGCCTATTCCCCCCTTGTAGTGTGCCCACACCCCCCCACATATTAGTGTCGTCAGCAAATTTGAACAAGGTGCTCTTCACCCGCTCGTCCAAGTCACTGATGAAGATGTTGAACAGCGCAGGTCCGAGGACCGAGCCCTATGGAACCCCACTGCCTACATCCCTCCAGGTCAAATAAGACCCGTCCACCACCGCTCCCTAGGTGCAGCCTTCCAGCCAGTTAGTGCCCCATTTGACTGTGTAGGTGTCGATGCGACAGTCCCCTAGTTTTTTAATGAGAATGGGGTGAGAGACAGTGTCAAAGGCCTTCCTAAAGTCCACAAAGACTATGTCTACTACTACCCCTGCGTCCAAGGATTTTGTGACCTGGTCATAGAAGGCCACCAGATTGGTCTGACAGGACCTGCATCGAATGAACCCATGTTGGTTGCCCCTAAGCATAATCTCCCCTGCATTTATAATGACAAAAACATAACAAAAGTGGAAAATGAGAGGTGCCTGAGGCAGAATTAAGGATTTTGTTTATTAGCTATGCATTTCCATGTATTAGATCTATTTTTAAGGATTCTCCTAAACATTACATTTCACAGGTTCCCACATTTTAATAAACCTTTTATGTTCCTTTCTATAAAGTTATTACTGGATAGTTTGTCCCTTTGCTGAATATAGTAGGTTTTGTTTTCATTTTGGCAAAGACAAAATTATTTGGTTAAAATAAAAAAGTTGCAGACTGCTTAGTTTATAAAGCTTGTCTGCTTTCCTCCATAACTCAGCAGCTCTGCTGGAGTTATAAAATTCAAATGTAGCTGTGCAAAGTCCACATCTAACACTCTTATTTAACCTTGCTTATTGCAGTAGAAGTATTTGCAAAATGATGATGCTTGTGCTTCAGAAATACCAAAATAAAGTATCTGAATTCTTCAAAATGTACCAAAATAATAACAGCTGCTGAAAATAAAAAAATACATCCAATTTTACATTTCAAGGTCTCAATTTTGATGAAACAGGTCACAAAAAATGGTTTACTGAATCAGGAAAAAAAAATCACTGAATCTCCAAATATGCAAGCCCACTCTTCCTGAATCTGGAAACAAACATCCCTCTGACTCCACTCCCATTCCCCGTAACAATTAGCATTCCAGTGTGACTTGTAAAAATAAGTGTACAGGGCAGCAACACTTCTCTTGTAGTGCAAGTGCTGTTACAACCTTAAACTACAGGTTCTCCATAAAATGTGAATTGAAGAACTACTATCTTGCTCTTCTTCCAGTTGTTGTCAGGTGTGCTGGTTCAATAGAGTAAAAATAGATATTAGAGATGTATTGTGAATCTAATTAAGATTAATGAAAATAGTTTTATAATAAAGCCTCTATATATCTACACAACATATAAAACAACATATATTTACACAATATACATCAAATAGCATATTGAAGAGCAAACCCTTAGCTTAAAATTATCACACTCAAATACACGAGTTATCTTACCAGTCACTTTTGGAATTCCTTGCAGACGAGGCACTGGTAATGCTACTATAATTCCCAGATTTGTTCCAACCAGCAATAAACCATGGCATACTAGTAGACTGGTCACAGAAACACGCTGCTGTCCTGTGTAATTCAAAAAATGCTACATTACTGCATAGTCATAACCTCTGCCTTAATTACAGTAATCTATAGTTAACATAAGTTACACATAATATAATTATAGGGCATCTATACACATGCATCAAGGTTGCTTTGATGCACTGTAATTAAACCGCATTGGAGCAGACTCAATTAATCAAGTCTGTTGGAGCGTGGTAATTTTCACTCTCCAGCCGACTACAGCAACACGTGTCAGCGTCCCCGTGCTGAAAAATGGCGGTGGGGGCAGTTTAACTAAAGCTTGTTTGATGAGCTTTAGTTTAAGGAGCCCTACCACCATTTTTAGCACAGGGACACTGATACATGCGATGCTCTGGGTGCTTTAATTAGAGTGGCTCTTGGATCCACTCTAATTAAAGCACCCCCTACCCCACCTACTAAAGCATGTGTATAAACACCCATAGGTTCTGAGTCAGCAAAGCATCTAAGTAGATGCTTAAGTATTCTTATGTATCAAGCCTTAAAACTTCACCTACATGCTATATAACTGCACCAAAACTTCTGAAATGCTGTAATAATTCAATTTTATTGTGCTAAAAACTGCCAAATTCCAGTACAAAAAGCAGCTTTTACAAATAGGTTACTTCTACATATTCTTAGTAGCAGTGCTACAATGCATTTTACTATATACAACAGTGGTCTACAATTACAACATTACACTGAATTCAAGGTTCAACACTATTCATATTTAACTGACACAACTGCTTTCCCCCTACTTTTCGTTTTCTGAAACAACTTAATGCACTGGGAGGTTATAGTTTTTATCCTTTGAAAACAAAGGGTTTAGCTCATGATAAAAAAATTAAAAATAAATGATTGATACAGTCTAACTGGCCATTTTGAAAATTTAAATTCTCCCAAATGGAAACTAATTTCTTCTATGATGAGAAGTGAAACTGTGCCATGAATTATGAACTGGCCAAAAGACAGAAACAGTATGTACAAAGTTTGTATCTAGTAATCTCAAAAATGTAAGATTACTAGTTAACATACTCAGTAACGCTCCGAAATAACACATGAGCATTAAGGCAAGGAAGTTTGCAGATGACTTTTATTTAGGTTGTTTAGGGCTGAAGAAGATTGTGGCTACATCTAACATAGTTGGGTGAATTAGCAGCATGTATATCAAACCTACTTAGAAATATAAATTAGGCATAATGAAAATTCCAAGACAATCTAGATGTTAGTTTCTCTCCATCTGGCTGATAGTAAAAAAATCATACTGTTTCTAATAATAATAACACTGAAGTTCCCCTGCCTACAAGGAAATAATTGTGCATCTTGCAAAGCTTTGGGGTTGTTTTAGATTAAATATAATGTACTTGATTTCCGAAGTGGCACATGCAAGAATGCTCCTTCACAGCTGATCAGAGGGACAATATTAAAGGAGACTGAAAATGCTACCATTGCAGCCAGAGGGTGAATGACACTGAGGTGATCACAGCTGGATGAAAACGGAGTGCAGCAGATATTTATCACAGGAAAAAGCATCAGACCCCAGAATGATGCCACAGGCTACAGCCTTGGTCCGTTAGTCAAAATGAAGGCAAATAAAATCATATTTATTAAACAAAAGGTTATTATAAAGGACTACAATGCCAATTATATATGACAGTCACCTGATCCATCTCAGTCAGTAAATATTACCATTACTTTGATGCTCAGATATTTTGCAGAAGTGTCTGTATACTTGTGTTGACTTTAACAATTCCACACCTTTATGAAGCTCAGTTAGAATGAGCACAAGCTGTTTTGATTTAGCCCTTACATGAAAAGAGATACAAATCCAGATCTAGATACAACTATTATTTTTCAATTATTTTTATAGTGAATCAAAAATTATCCAAATCCTGAAGCTACTGAAAGCTTTTCTGGTGTTAAAAACCCATGTTTTTCTGGCCACTTGACACACATCAGTGACAAAAAGATGACATCTTCCTGAGCAGCGAACTTCCAGTTGCTACTCCTGCACTGCCACTAGTGCTGTGCCCTCTTCTTTTGCTGAAGCCTCAGCCAGAACTGCTGCAGGGAAGGTGCAGGGTGTGGGAAGGAACAGTAATGCCCAGGGCACAGTACCTGCCAGTTATACCTCTGGAATCAAGATCTGCATTTTGTGGCTTAGCTTATAGGCAATGCAAACAGATCAATGTTAGTACCAACAAAACACACTGGGGTCCAATCTTACTCTTCTTAAGCAGTCTAGTGGGAATATTGCCCATTTTTATCTTTGTAATGCTTTCAATGCATTCTCTAGGTGCTTTACACTGAAAAATATCAGTGCTTGTTCTCACACAGCAGCCCCAAAAGGACTGCCAACTAGTGATTTGCACCTGTGAAGTAACATTATTGTTTCCATATGTGAAAACAGCAAGTGAGTATAGAACAACCTGGAGTCTTAAATACAGAACATAACACTAGGCATGAACCACTGAATGTGAGGTCAAAAGAAAAACTTCTAGCTTTGAATCCTTGGGAAAGCAGGAAACATCTGCATCTGTCTAGAAATAACTGATGGTAACACATAATGATAACAGTCACTTATTAAAAATATCCATGTGTTGCTTTCTATTGTGAACATTTTTACTTCTATCTTTTTATTACAATGCAGTGTTTTGTGACTTTAATTTTATCTATTAAACACTAAAGGGAAAAATTAGAAAGAAATGGCTCTTGATCAACTGGATGCGTTCTATCCCCTAAGCAAAGGAAAAAAAATATCACCCAGTAAAGATCAATCAAGGGAGAGTGATAAGCATGAAAGTAAAACACTATTATAGTTAAAGGAAAGTTTTCCAATGAAATGGTACCCATGGAGAGATGAAATTGCTAAACGTGCAAGGGCAGCTTAATAACACTCAGGTTCTTTACAGGCTTACACACAGGGATAGTTTTGCACTCTGGGTGTACTCTCACTGACTTTGTTTCTACAGGACTTCAGAATCAATCTTGATCTTCCTCACATGTCAGCTTTTGATCCTGGCTCAGCAACAGAATTTTGGCATATGCCTCCCTTGCACCCACACAGGGCCCACTGAAATACAGTCTACAAAGGTGCAAGGGCAAGTCTTTATATCCATCCAATGATTAGGCTCCACAAGCAAATTAAACTGTCTTAAAAACCTCTCGCTACTGCATATTTAATCAGGCAGTCTGAACTGCTCTCCTTCTTCTTACTAATTGGTTATAACAAACTGACATAATGAAGTACTGTGTATGTGTGTGCAGGAACTTTAAATGAAAAAAGCAGAATTTATTTTCTACAGAAAGGAAATGAGGAAATTTTGTTCCCTTTCTCATCAGTTTCCAGGAAGCATGCATGTAACAATAGGAGATGAAAAACAGAAGTTGCCTGTTTGTTCAATAGGTAACATATTAGCCATAAGAGCAAAGAAATAAGATATATCAGAGTCAGCAGAACCTCTCTAAAAGCAAACTCAATTAAAGATTAAAAATAATAAATCTGGTAAAGATAATGCATTCAAGGATATTTACATGGTTAAATACCAGCATCCTGTATTAAATAATAAAATATTACATGCAACCTTAACACATCTAAGCTAGTTGGTGGAGGTATGAACTGTGAGCAGTAGGATTTTTAATTATCAATATTTTAAAATATGTGAATTAGAGCACATGTATACTAACCACTGTACATACATGATCTGGGGCAGTAATTGGGCACAAGCTTGCCCTACCTGAGAAAATACATAAAACATTAGCAACCGTTTTGTCCATATCTATTTATTTATTACATTTATGGGCAGCCCTTCCCAAAATAGCCTTGGGCGCTTACAACAAATAAAATAACTAATACAAGCAGTCCCTAGTGTCTTTCCTGACCTCTGTTGGGAGGGTCATATAGCAGTGCACAGGCAATCCAGGAAGTTTTTGGAGAGAGCAGAGGACAACTTCCCAGTGCAAGTGTTGGAGAGGCCAATTAGGCCTTTTCTTGACCTGCTGCTCACAAACAGAGAATTGGTGGGGGATGTAACAGTGGACAGCAACTTGGGCAGAAGCGACCATGAGATGATTGAGTTTGGGATCCTCAGGAATGGAAGGAAGGAGAGCAGCAGAATACGGACTATGGACTTCAGAAAAGTGAACTTTGACTCGCTCGGGAAACTGATGGGAAGGATCCCCTGTGACACCAGTCTGAGGGGGAAAGGAATCAAGGTTGTACTTCAAATAAACCTTACTGAGGGTGCAGGAATGAACCATCCTGATGCGCAGGAAGACTAGCAAGTATGGCAGAAGACCAGCTTGGCTTAGAAAGGAACTCTTCAGTGAGCTAAAACACAAAAAGGAAGCTTACAAGAAGTGGAAACTTGGACAAAACTAGGGTTGGAGCATAAGAATATTGCTCAGACATGCAGGGATGAAATCAGGTAGGCCAAAGAGCAGATGGAGTTGCAGCTAGAGAGGATATGAAGGGTAACAATAAAGATTTCTACAAGTATGTCAGCAACAAGAGGAGGATCGGGGAAAGTGTGGATCCTTTACTAAATTGGGAGGAAACCTAGCAATAGATGATGCAGAAAAAAGGAAGTACTCAATGTCTTTTTTTACCTCAGTCTTCACAGGCAAGATCAACTCCTAGATTACTGCACCTGGCTGCACAATTTGTAGAGGAGGTGAGCAGCTGACAGTGGGAAAAGAACAAGTTAGGGACTATTTAGAGAAGCTGGACATGCACAAGTCCATGGGGCCAGATGCAATGCACCCGAGGGCAATGAGGGACGTGGCTGATGTGACTGCAGAGCTGCTGGCCATTATCTTTGAAAATTCATGACCATCAGGAGAGGTCCCAGATGACTGGAAAAGGGCAAATATAGTGCCAATCTTTAAGAAAGGGAAGAAAGACAATCCAGGGAACTACAGGCTGGTCAGCCTCCCCCCAGTTGCTGCAAATCATGGAGCAGGACCTCAAGGAATCAATTTCTAAGCATTTGGAGAAAGTGGTGGTT